TGCTCCTCTCTCCATCCATTCATCTCTGCCAGGAGCTCAAATTGTGCTTTATGTGCTTCCGTGCCTTCCCATCGAATTCCTGTAGCTTCCTTCGTACTAGATCACCACTATTGCTGACATTCATATCTGGGATGTGACTTCTAACAGGACTCAAGAAGTCTGCATTAGAGTTTAGCTGCATGCTCTGGAAGGGGCTTGCCATTGTCTGGGGCTGATTAAGTCGATGGTTAATGTATCCTCCCTGTGTAAAAGACAATAAATCATCCTTTAATGTATCTAATTTGCTTTTAAATTTACTAATGCTTTCCATTTGTACTTTTTGCCACTGTTGTTGACTTTCCTGTAGTTGCTGCTGACTTTCCTGCAACTGTTGGAGACTTTCTTCCTGTTTCTTTCTTGTTCTAATTGCCACTGCTGTAATCTCTCATCTTGTTTATTTTCCTTCTCCTCCAACCACTGCTGTAGTCTTTCTTCTTGTTTATTTTCTCGTTCTTCTTGTTTCCTTTCTTTTTCCTCCAACAACTGCTATAATCTCTCTTCTTGTTTCTTTTTTTTATCCTCTAACAACTGCTGTAATCTCTCTTCTTGTTTCTTTTCTCGTTGTTCTTGTTTCCTTTCTTTTTTCCCCAACAACTGCTGTAATCTCTCTTCTTGTTTATTTTGCTGTTCGAGCTGCTACTGTTGCATGTTTCCTTGCCACTGCTGTTGTCTCTCTTCTTGTTTCTTTTCTCATTCTTTTTGTTTCTTTTGCTGTTCTTGTATTGCTGCCATCAAACCTGCTAAGCTGTAGTTTGATTTGTCACGTCTCGTTTCCATTTTTTTTATTTCCCGTCTTACTGTCTGACACCCATTTGTTACGTCTCTAGTCGTTTGTTAATTTTCCGTAGAAATTCTTTCCAACAAATCTTCAGCAATACAAGTCCTTCCTTAAATAAAACTAGTTTATTCTTTCTCAATAGAGCTTTGCAATATACTTAATTTCCACGGTTAGTTTAACTTCAACAAGCGCTATAATTCACAACGAACGATTCACGCGCCTGAATCAATTGTTCATCTCTATCTCTGTCTGCAATTCAATTCCGTTGTTGCCGTCACTTCTTGGCGGTCTTATATAAAAGAATACCGCACATCTAGTAAACACTCGAGCATTCACGAACCTTCGAGAATATCATGACGTGTTACTAGAGTCACGTGACTTCCGCTGTCGTAACAGTACGGTCAGTACAGTCGTGAACTTTTTAAACGATCGAATTGCCCCCCTACCCCCCTATGGAGCTATGTGATCGTGTACTACAATTATAAAGGCTACTGGCAGGATTGTGTGAGTGAGATAATCGATCTGACTTTGTTATCTGTACTAGTATTATTGAAGACTACATTAGTTCTACATATGCGCTATTCAGATTTGTGCAAATGCCCATTGCAAAAACAACTGCTTTCAAAATTTCGACCTCAGTGTTAAATATTACACGTTATGAAACGTGACTTCCATAGTTAGGTAATTCCTGAACGGTATTTTAAACGTGTAGCTTGGCTGGGTTAGATCCCTGGACTATTTTGACAGTATGGTTGTACACAACATACTGTTGCGTCATCGAGTCACATGACTACTGTGACGCAACGTTTCTAGAACTATCATGTACTTTGGCGAATGTTCTAGTTCTTACTACATATAGGGTAGGCTGGTATATAAAAGAGGGGAATGTAATGTGTATAGACAGTGAGTAATTGAACTGCAGTTAGAGAGCACGAGAGACGTTACAGTGTTTGTTTAGCGCGATTGTTGAAGTTGAGTGTATTGGTAAAGTTATATTCGTAAATAATAAACCAGTTTTATTAAGAAAGGACTTGTGTCGCTTAAGTTTCGTCGGAACGAAGTTACGGAAAGTTAATTAACAAACGGAGACGTAACAATACGTTTTGATATAACATTTGAAAACAACCTGTACCAGTATTACACTACTGGACTTTCGCAAACAATCGTTAGCAAAATTGATATGAAATGACTTGTGGAAGTTCGAAAACGGTCGTAAATTGAAAACACATAAAAATATTTCTGTTTTATAACAAACGAGATGGCCAGGTTTAACTCATAAGGCAATAGAGAAGCAGTTGGAACTATTGTAGTCATTTAATGCAGCATGGTTCCGTAATTTTGCGCCAGCCAATAATTGTTTGTTTGTAATTAAGCACAAAGCTACACAATGAGTTATCTGTGCTCTGCCACCACGGGTATCGAAACCCGGATTCTAGTGTTGTAAGTCCGCAGACATACCGCTGTGACACTGGGGGCACCGCTAATAATGTATAACGTTATTAAGTGTTTTGTACCGCTTAGTAACAATATAAAAATGTCACTCGTTCCATAATCTGTCAGTAAAATTACAAAAATATGTGTTTTATAACACAAAAAGACCGCAATATCTCTAAATGCTTCTTTATTGCCTTATAGTTTATGCCTAACTACCTTTTTCTTTGTACAGTACCGTCTTCAAACGTCCCCTTTCGTTTGTCATAAAACAGAAACAATATTCTGTTTAATTAAGTTAAGTACTAATTTGTACTATCCACAGCTTATAAGCACAAATTAAGTAACGAAAAATAAACACAAAATATGAACATGATTACCCCGTCTAGTTTCGAGGTACATACCACAGTATACCCTTGAAAATGAAGTATGTGGTACGTCGAAACTAGTCAGGGTAATCATCGTCATATTTTGTAAATTTTTGTTTGTTCTTCGTAACTTAATATGTGCTTATAAAGCTGTTAATCTTGATAATATTCTGTTTTCAATTTACAACCAGCTTCGTATTTCATTTCCACAAACCATTTCGTGACTATTCTGTGACGTTTCTTGCGCATGTTCAGAAATACAGTGCTGGTACAGTTTGTTTTCAAATGTTATTTCCAGATGTATGTTTGTATAAGAGTTGGGTGTTAGGTTCTCCGGTAGTGTAATACTTAATATTGAGGCTTATGTGTTTCAAACCTCTTTTGTAGCAAAAACGTAGCCAACTCGTGTGTGTAAGTGTATATTTGTGTTACAAAGGTGTTTGTTGAATTTATTGTAGCATTTCTTGAAAAAATTGATGGCATTTGCCTTTGCAATAGGCAGTCGTACGAATCTGAATAAGCAAATACTCAGAATAGGGCATATGTAGGGCTGATGCTGATTTTCACAATAATTTAAATAAAGTAAACTCATTGACTTGGGTGTACTGAAATATCCGATTTTTTATTTATCATGTCTGAATGGTATGATAACTTATAAGCTTATTGTATTTAATTTTTAATTGTATGATACAGACTGACACTTCGTTATTAATTGATATATGACTTAGCATTGTTGTTAGTAACCAATAGTGATAGTAATATTTTAAAAAAACTAATTTGTTCGGTTGAATTAATTGAAAATCGTAATCTAACTTATTTATAATGTACAAATTAGTACTTTCTGAACTGTTATTTTGTTTTTCTTTTTTGTAATAAATATATATTATTTTATTGTGAATCTGCAAGTCTTTACTTAAGACTGAATTTAATATTATTTGCGGTATTTACACTTTACAGTATAGTAGGCCTATTATCCAATATCAACGAAAATGGCGGATTATTGCTCCCCAAGCTCAGTAGACGAGTCCACGAGCTCTTCTTCAGACAAACAATGTCAAAGTTTGGACACACGTGTATTTTCAAAGAATGCTTGTTGTGGTACCACTACAAGGCTCACCAATCAAAATGGTGTAGTGCAGCCTCTTCTGACGGGTAAGCTAAGTATCTGTTTTAGTGCAATTGTAAGAGAAGTGATACTGATGTGATAAGAAAATATATTGTTACAACTTACAAGTATTAGGGGAAAAATATCCCTAAATAATAATAATAAAAAAGCTACGTAGGGCTAGCTACTGATGACCTGTAGAGGAGAAAATCCAGATGACTTGTGTATTGCTTTAATACAGGTGTCCATACCATTACTACATAGAGTGCTAGTGTACTCTCCCATTAAAAAAAGTTACTTGAACAAAGTTGAAGGATGACAGTGTGGTGCACATCATCATTACAAATATAACACTTAAGAGAATCAAAAGGAGTCTTGAAAAGAAAAAGTGTTATTGGTTAACAAGGCAAAACAAGAATTTTTCAATATTTAATTATTAAGAAACTTGTAATATAGTTGTATTCTCATCTTATGTTTTACTACATTGTGAATATTAGAACCTAAATACAACTTAAAAGATATTGAAGCCTAAATGTGAATTTTTACTTAGAATTATTCTTCTCTTTTAAATTATTATAATGTGATATTGTTTAATAAAAGAGGTGATGTGTGCTGAAAAGGTTTGTTAAAATGTTTCCACTTAGTCTTACTGGAGTCATTGCATTTTAATTAAATCATCAGGTTCATCATCTTATTGGTCACATCATTCTAACATGTCATCAATTTAATTAATGAATATTCATTCCAAGTAAATATATAGTTACATTTTTTTCTATACACTTTCTATACCTAATTAAATCTTTTAAACTAGAATAATGTTCTAATACTCTCCTTCCAAAGCCTACCATTTGTTTCCTTTGATTTTGTGTCAATAAATAAATTATCATTTCTATCATACTTGGATAAGTTGTGCATTAAAATACTAGTAAACTCTACTATTGTATAGAGAAGAGCCCCATTAATCAGTTACATTTTATTAATGAATTAGTATAGCATTCCTCAATCATGGAATGTACAAATAAACTCAAAAAAAAGTTGGTGACAGGTCCTTCCATTCAGCTGTTTTCCTTTTAGTCAGCTATTTAAAAAATAATAATGTCACAAGTGGGTACATCTAGCCAGTTGCCTTCTCTTTCTTTAGTGATTAGTTCAGAAAGAGAAAAAAAAAATGGCAGCAGGTGTTGCCAGCCAGTTGCTCTCTGCTTAGTCAGCATAATGTTCAAAACTAATGACAGTGGCAGATAGCCTTAGTAGTTTTGTCATAACCTATAAGACTAAAATTAGGAAGAGCACAAATAACCCATTATGTGGATTTGCACTTAACAACAAACAAGCATAATAGCAATATTTTGATTACTCAGATAGTTAGAATAATAAAAAGTAATGATAATTGGAAACTCTAATTTCAATTAGTTGATTATTTTTGTGGCAATCAATTTAATCATAATTTTTAGCAATCAGCTGTTGGAATAATTTATAACAGTAATAATCAGAAACACTAATTTCAAGTAATTGATTAGTTTGTGGGATACTTGTCAACTAAGTCGCCCAGTTCTGTGAGAGTGTTAGGTTTATTATTATCATCTAGTTTTATTACTGCAGATTCAAAAACACTTAAACCTACATTGTATGATATGTTTGTTGAAAATAAAGAGACCTATGTAGTGTAGGAGAATATGCATGGAAGGAGAAGACTTGTTGAACAGTAGTATAGATGAAGTTAAGGAAGTGGCTGTGTGTTAAGTTTAAAATTATAGTTCATGTGGGATACCTTTAAGATGATGTTTAGTGTAATTTGGAAAAGTTTCTATGTTATGTTGAAGTTAGAAATGTGGGTATTAATGATTGTTTATATATTTTATAATGAGTAACATGTAAAAACAACCTGAAGTGAGTTTTTGTTTACAAAGAGTTAAACAGTTGATGTGTTAACTGTGGTACTGTCTTTATACCCCCATTTTTGTTTGATTATCATGTCATGTTGAATGGTAGGATTTAATTTAATGTTTTTTGTAGAAGTAAATGTGTTTATGGAGTTGGTAAACTTTTTTTTTAAACTGAGTTGTTAGTAATAATTTTAGAGTGAGATTTTCTTTTGGTTTTGAATTATTACAAAATTTACAACTGAAGATCAAAATTTTTTCATTAAAAGTTAAACATGTTAGTGAGGCTCTCACTTGATTGCAGAAAACAAGTAAAACTTCTACTAAACCTGCTATAATCTATAGCATTTCGTTGTTTAGAGAATTGAATGATTCAACTAAGAAATATTTGTTAATGATTTATAGATGGGTTTTTTATTTGTTTTTATACCAACACTACTGACATTTTCCATAGATTCTGATAAGTTTACTTTTGGCTCTTTTCTAATCCAGGTAAACATTTTGGTGTCATCATTACTTTAGAATCTGGTTTGCTACAAACACTTGTACCAAAAAAAATAGACACGCACACAAACACACAGCAGTATCTTCACTATAACTTCACTGCAACTTTCTATAAATCACAAGAATCAATTCAGTCAATATTCTTTGAGTAAAACTGATACACACAAAAAAAGAGATTATTAATACAACATAAACAACAAACAATTGAAAGAAGTTGCAATGTTTCAGTTTGAAATGCCTTTACAGTTTCTCTGTGAGAACTCCTACAGAGTTCCTTGGGTTATTATCATTACCTTGTATAAAGTGGTTCAAAAATTATAGCAGAACAGTAATTATTGATTTTATTTATCTTCATTTGTTTTTGAATGATGTTCGAGTTTATCTGAACATACAGACTAACAAAGGGCATTTGGTTTTGTTTCTGCAGATCAATATTATTCTCTTAGAAGAGATTTAAGTGTGGGGGGGGGGTCAACTACCTTTAGTAGCACCCTATAATAAAAAAAATCTACTCTACACTGGCCTCCTTCAACATAATAATACTTTGGAACTGTTCTTTCCTGAAGTTCTCACTGCATGCATCTTCTAAAAAAATAAAAGCATAAAATCTCTATCAGTTCATACTGAGTTCAGCAACTATTTACATATAGGAAGTAATTCCTGGAAAGACATAATGTGCACAATTACAAACTTATAAATCCTTTTTGAAATGGCCAAATCAGGACATGATGTATTTATTGATTCTACGGTTCATATTCACTAACTTAACTTTTTTTATTGTTATGTTAACCTTTTTTTTACAACTTCCAAAAAAACAGAATATGACATACAAATATTTACAATTATATCTTCTATAGTTGCTTTATTGAGCTTCTTATCTCTTCTTATATACAACTGAGTCATTAATACACAAGTTCTTAATTAAAAAAATATGTAAATTTTGCACAAGCATAGCATTATTCTGTCTTTAAAAGGGCCATAAAGTTTATTAAAGTTTTGAAATTGTTAGATTTCTGTAGTATGGGAAGTTACAAGATTCATAATTTAGATGCAATCTTAATTAATTTGATTGCTCTGTAGTTACAAAATTAATCTTTCTGGTGTTTAATGGTGCATTTAAATAAAGTTCATACTACTGTTCAAGAATTAAGTTTGTAGGCAACTCTGCAAGTAAGCACCAATATACAACAGTGAATGCCATGTTACTGTCTGTTGTCTGACATCATGCAATTACATATGCTATTCACAAGTTTACTCATAGTATAATGATATTTATTATAATTGAAAGTTCAGACTGTTCTTAATGTTCATGCATACATTCAATCATTTTCACAGCAACTGCAGCATGATATGATATATTTCAGTGCTTTTTTCAAAATGTTCTTGTGGTTGATTTAATTTTCTTAAAAGCCTAGCTTTTTCATTTATTACGTTTTATACAACTATTAATCCTCCTCCTTTCTAATGTAAAATTAAGGTCTATAACTTTGAGTGGAATTTGATTATTTTTTGTTTTGATTTTTTCATAGTTTAATTTTTCAAAAGCTATCATATGATAGAGAGCATAAAAATAAAGACATGAAATGTTTTAATTTCATATTTTTCAGTTCTTCAAAAAAACAAGATGTAATCCTCAATACCCAAGACACTTGAAATCCTTTTAGACAGGATTAGAGTAAATTTATCTTTGAGACATTTATTTTCCTTTTTTTTTTGCTATATTTTTGTGCACCAGCAATACCAAGAGTTGGGCATGTACATACCCGATTCAATTTCATTACTCATCGTGATCTCTACCAGTCTACCCTCAAATTGAAATTCTTTTAGGCATGATTAGAATAAATTAATCTATGTGAACATGGGCATGATTAAATACATCGGTCGATAGGATTTTACCTCTTGAGTCCAAAACTATAATTATATCTCAAATCAGTCAAGAGATGATGGAACTATGAGCTAAAAGTTTGTACTTGAAAAAAAAGAAAAACTCGGATCCATTCTGTAAGCCACTATTCTACGGCTAATAAAGATTATCCATCATATTCAATGAATACAAAAAATATCTATAAATCTTGCAATAAAAAACTACCTTATTCATTGTCCCAATATGTTATTGTCATCAACCCAATAATTTACAAATTATTGATAATTATTGTACCTTTTTGATATACTGTGTTTTTCTAGGTGGAATACCTCAAACACTTTGTGTCATGCTTCATTTATATGTACAGTATTTCTCTATATATAATTATCTGTATATGAGAAATCAGATGAGGTACATGTTTCACTCTTATACTAACATTATCGTGGTTTTTAATATAGCAATTATGAATGCATTGAACAAACAACATTTACAGGCTTATAAGGAAAAATACATAATTATAATGGTGATTTTTTTTCCCCTGAACTGCCATATTGTAGCATGCATGGATATATTTTTTAAATGTACATGAAAATCTCTTTCATTGCAATTTTGTTTTAGAGAAATGCCCCAAACATTTGAAGTGCTACATGTAACTTCCATGGGAGTGGTAATTCATTCTAATTGATGACAATGTCTTCTAAGGAAAGTCAGAAAGAAAAATATAGCTGCTATAAGGATAAACATAAAACAGAAATAGGTGAAGTACAGACACAGTTCTTGTTTGCTGTTGGAAGTG